GATTTTTTCAGCGAGAGACGAAGCAAAGTCTTCACACTCCACACTTCACACTGCACTCTTCGCACTCCGAACTTGAAACTTCACACTCCACACTTCACACTTCACACTTCGCACTTCACACTTCACACTTCCCACTGCTTCCTTCACACTCCAAACCTCACACTTCACACTGCGCGCTTCGCACTCCAAACTTAAACTTCACACTCCACACTTCACACTTCTCACTTCCCACTGCTTCCTTCACACTTCACACTTCCCACTGCTTCCTTCACACTCCAACGCCAGAGTTGATTTTAAATAGAAAATGAAAGCAGCCAAAATCTGAAAGATCCTTTTTTTTGTCACATGTATGCAATATATCATGGTTTCTTGTGTGGTTCGTAACAACGCACACAGAAACGAAAATGAAGTGACACAGGCATTCTGCCGTCTGCAACTCGAAATGAAAGGCGAAGCTACTGAAGCACAGCAATTCAGACTCGGATGCGGTTCACAACAACGCACACCCAGCCTTCGGCAGTCAAACGAGAATTGATCCCTCTGCGGCAATACCACGTACTGTTGCTGTGCAAGATGTTGAGCCATTCTGCGCACTGAGCTTTGGTTCTGTGGCGACGCAAAGCGTACCAGAGACTTCGGCTTTCTCCAATGGCCCCAATCTGAACTTTTGGCGCTCTAGTCATTCACCACAGGTGGCTCTCCAGCGCCGCCTCGACCATGCTGGACGCGGAACACAACTTCGCACGTCCAGTTCTGGGAGGCAAGGAAGTTGCTATTGTGGCTTCTGTGAAGCCTCGGAATAAACCAGCTGGTGACACGACGTGCAAGACTGACACAAGAGTTTGGCCGCGTCGCACGTCGAACAAATTGCAGTGGGCGGACGTGTTTTGCAAGCTTCACACCAGCTATGTGTCCAGCATCCACACAAGTTGCATGGCGCCGCGCCGAGGCTACGACCCATGGCCTCTCGTTCATAGGTTGCGACTGCGTATGCCTCACGAGCTCCCGGAACCACCAGTCGCTGACCCCAAGTGAGTTGCAGCGCAACTTCCCGAGGGTGAGCCCGCAGAAAGCTAGCAGCTCTATCCTTCCATACCAGCCAGTCGTATGCGGCGAGCGCCATGGCAAAGGTAAAAGCAGTCCGTAACGACGTACTTCGACAATAAGCACTGAACGTTAGTTGGTACGTCTTGCATGTACGACATAGTAACTGTGCTGTCCGTTGTGACCGCGTTACGTAGCTGTAATGTCAATCCACATGTATGCGCAGAAACACAGCTGACACATCTGTTTATTTGTGAAGTCCTACGGAAACATCTGTTTGTTGTGAAGTCCTATGAAACATCGTTGCTCTTGATCCTGCGCTTCAGCGTGTAGACAGTCAACATGTCGTGACACACCATGTCTCAAACCCAAGTCTGCGCAAAGATATTTTTTCTGAGGGACATGTAATGAGGCACCCATGGCACCTACCCATGACACCTACCCAACAGTCACCTACCGAGTCGATCGACCAGCACACGGGGGACATGAGCGATAGACACTCGAATGAAACAATGAAACAAGCACAAACAAATTCTCAAGGCAAGAGCCTCCCCTACGGGTTGACACCGAACGGCTTTGTTTTACCAGTCACGTCAGCGCATCGTCATGATTTTACCAGCTACGCAGTCCACAACGACGCACGCAGCTACCGACTCGATTTATTCGCATGCATGACCCAAACAACGGCGGCGGGAACTTGCACAATTCGCACACAGCCTGGCAGACCTGAAACTACACATGCACTGCCTCAGGCTATACAAAACGAGCTTTCAAAACCGGATCTCGACGCCAAAACGCAAAAATTGCATTTGCCAAGCTTTGGTGTTTGCAAGCAGCCAAAATCTGAAAAAAAATCACACTTCACACTTCACACTCCACACTTCACACTTCTCTCTTCTCACTGCTTCCTTCACACTCCAAACCTCACACTTCACACTTCACACTTCACACTGCGCTCTTCGCACTCCAAACTTAAACTTCACACTCCACACTTCACACTTCTCACTTCTCACTGCTTCCTTCACACTGCACACTTCACACTGCACTCTTCACGCCCCACACTTCACACTGCTCTAAACCTACGTGCAACAAAAAAACACTAGCGCCAAAATGGAGAAAATCTGCTAACAAATCCATTTCGCAGCCTTCATGCAGCCAGTCCAAGACTCAGATCCAGCCTTCATACAGCCAAAGCAAGAAGCAACCTTGACGCAGCCATTCCAATGCGATCTGCAGAGACTGAGTTGCAAAGCACAATAGAACTACGCGCAACGGCGTCGGAAATTGTAGCTCCAAAACCGGATTTCGACGCCAGAGCGAAAAAAGACGATTTTGAAGCACTTTTTAAAAGGATTTTTAGACGGAAAATCACTAGCGCCAAAATGGAGAAAAAAAACGCATTTCGTGCGAGACTTCCTTCAAAACTCCATCGGCAACTCCTCCACCAGCACCACTTGCAATCCCATTTACAGTGAGGGAACGATCCTAGAGTTGCAAATCACAATGGAATTCCATCGGCAACTCATTCACCAGCACCACTTGCAACCCCATTGACAATGCGGGAACGATCCTACAGTTGCAAATCACAATGGAATTCTGTCGACCGCACATGCACGAAAAACAGTTGAAACCCCATTTACAATGCGGAACCGATCCGACCATGGTCCGAGCATGATCCGAGACCGATCCGACCATGATCCGACCACACACGAGACCGTCTCGCACCCGTCGCACCGCAGAGGTAGATCATCGAGGTTCGGGGACGGACTTTGTATGGAAAACATAGAATTTCGTGCATCTGCTATCTCTCAAAAACGCATTTCGTGCGAGACTTCCTCCAAAACTCCATCGGCAACTCCTCCACCAGCACCACTTGCAATCCCATTTACAGTGAGGGAACGATCCTGGAGTTGCAAATCACAATGGAATTCCATCGGCAACTCATCCACCAGCACCACTTGCAACATCTCGCAACCCCATTTACAATGCGGGAACGATCCTATACAGTTGCAAATCACAATGGAATTCTGTCGACCGCGCATGCACGAAAAACACTTGAAACCCCATTTACAATGCGGAACCGATCCGACCATGATCCGAGACCGATCCGACCATGATCCGAGAATGATCCGACCACACACGAGACCGTCTCGCAACCGTCGCACCGCAGAGGTAGATCATCGAGGTTCTGGGACGGACTTTGTATGGAAAAACATAGGCTTTCGTGCATCTGCTATCTCTCAAAAACGCATTTCGTGCGAGACTTTCTGCAAAACTCCATCGGCAACTCCTCCACCAGCACCACTTGCAATCCCATTTACAGTGAGGGAACGATCCTAGAGTTGCAAATCACAATGGAATTCCATCGGCAACTCATCCACCAGCACCACTTGCAACCCCATTTACAATGCGGGAACGATCCTATATACAGTTGCAAATCACAGTGGAATTCTGTCGACCGCGCATGCACGAAAAACACTTGAAACCCAAATTTACAATGCGGAACCGATCCGACCATGATCCGAGACCGATCCGACCATGATCCGACCATGATCCGACCACACACGAGACCGTCTCGCACCCGTCGCACCGCAGAGGTAGATCATCGAGGTTCGGGGACGGACTTTGTATGGAAAAACATAGGCTTTCGTGCATCTGCTATCTCTCAAAAACGCATTTCGTGCGAGACTCCTCCAAAACTCCATCGGCAACTCCTCCACCAGCACCACTTGCAATCCCATTTACAGTGAGGGAACAGTTTCTTTGCTAACTCTTTCCCTCACTAACTCTTTCTTTGACTAACTGTTTCTTTGACTAACTTGTTTCTTTGCTAACTCTTTCTTTGACTAACTCTTTCCCTCACTAACTCTTTCTTTGACTAACTCTTTCCCTGACTAACTCTTTCTTTGACTAACTCTTTCCCTGACTAACTGTTTCTTTGCTAACTCTTTCTTTGACTAACTCTTTCTTTGACTACCTCTTTCCCTGACTAACTCTTTCTTTGACTACCTCTTTCCCTGACTAACTCTTTCTTTGACTAACTCTTTCCCTGACTAACTCTTTCTTTGACTAACTCTTTCCCTGACGAACTCTTTCTTTGCTAACTCTTTCTTTGACTAACTCTTTCCCTGACATTTTCCCTGACTAACTCTTTCTTTGACTAACTCTTTCCCTGACTAACTGTTTCTTTGACTAACTCTTTCTTTGACTAACTCTTTCCCTCACTAACTCTTTCCCTGACGAACTGTTTCTTTGCTAACTCTTTCTTTGACTAACTCTTTCCCTGACATTCTAAAAGTCCGTAACACGGAAGTTTCTCCCCCTAAACTTCCTTTGATCATCATCATCATGATCATCAATTAATCACCATTAATAACCACTAATAACCATTAATAACCGTCAATAACCGTTAATAACCGTTAATACTGTTAATAACCATTATATAATAACCATTGAGCCCCACAGGTTCAGCTTGTTGGCAGAGAACCTGGACACCAGCGACGCTGTGAATTTGGCGTACGCCCGGACGCTGCAGAAGCACCACTCCTTTCTGCAACGTCAGGTGGGAACGGGTCAAGCATGGAGGGTTCGGCGGCCAAAATGATGATTAAGCCTAGAAACGTGTGATTTAACATGATTTAACTAGCAAAAATCGTGCCTTAGCTAGTGATGGTCATGTGATTTTACTATTAACCAAGAACATTGATCATTGGATGCTTAATTTAACTCAACCACCAAAGGATGGGGATATTTCTCAACAAATAAGGATAGAGCTGATGGTGCTTCTCCAACAATGGGGACATACTTGGAAATGTCAGTCGGAATGGGGAGAATGATGATGAACCATGACATTAGTATCATTTTGGGGTACCCCATCTTCAGACAAAAGTCATGTGTGAGTGTGTCTGTGTCAGAACCTGGGGATCTCCTCAATTCAGGTGACGGAAGCAGGAGGAGCCCCCGACCTCTACAAATGCGTATGGTCTTGAAAACTCACTTCACATCCCGTGGTGGAAATTTCCATGGATATATCATGGCACATCCCACTTGGTAGTTGAGGTTGGTGAAAAGCCATTTGGATCACCAGCTGTTTTCCATTCCGGTGGAAGCGATGAAGTCATAAAGTGCGCATAAAAGCAGCAATAACTGGCCAGGAAGTGGGAAGACATGTCCCTAGAGAGAGGGAAGGAGGAAAGAGGTATGCAACCAGTCAACACATGTCAGCCGCTTTTGCGTATTGTATGCCAGTGGCACATAAGTACTGTCAGTACAGAGTCTTGTGCTTGAAGTTGGGATCAATGTTTGGTCATAGATGGTAGCCGCATCAACAGCTAAGAATGGGCTGTGAAGCCAGAACATGAACGTCATATAACGTCATCAACATCTCAAACATTTGAGGATGTAACCGCACACAAGCTTGCTAAAATCTCTCAACGAAGCTGCTGGAAGCTGCTGGTAGAATCCATGATGAACTCAGAACAACTGCGGCCTAGGTAGGTGAAATATTCCCTCACTGTCACTTGAAGTACCCAAGTAATCCTCTGATCTCGCCTGGAAATTGAAATCCCCCGATTTGCATGCGTTGATCGGGAAAAAAACGGGACTTGACCCCCAGCCACATTGGACGGTGTCTCACGTAGGAGCTCTGCCGCTGGAAATGCCACAGGATATCACCCCGACAAGTGTTGAGTGGCTGGGCCCCCTTCCCCAAGACCTTGGTACCTGGGTACTTCCAAGTTGCCGTGCCTTTGTTTTCGGGCGCAGACAAAAAAAAACAACATGAACACCAACAGATGGTACTTTGAATGCCGATTTTCCAATTATTGGTAATTATATACTTCCAGGCCTCACACCGGCATGAAAATTTTGGCTTTTCCTGGGGTGTTGTCACTATAGGCCTTTTATTTGGTCTACAGCCAGCTTCCTGCGCGAGAACCGTTGATGCACATCTTGGAAGGCACGTGGGGAGGTACGAGCGCAGATACTGCGCAGATATGCATCCCCGTTGTTCAAAAACCATGCTTTGACCTTCAATTAGCAGATTGAAATAGGTATTTCACCTCAAATGACCCGTAATTGTTGATGTATTTTCATAAAAGGTCTGGGTAAATTGAGTGTCTAGATACATGTATATATGACAACATCTATGTCATACATGCAGATATTTACACATATGACATATGACATTTATGCTGTATAATATTTATATATATATATATACACTATATATATATATACAATATTTGTATATATATATATTGTATAGGTTATAAGTTATAGGTTATATTATATGTTTTTTGTTTGTATTTTGCAACTGCAGATGCTTGAGGGTGTGCCTCCAACCACGACCTGCCTGGGGTTGTCTCGTGTTGCAGGGGAAGTGCAATTGAGCAACGCGGATGTCTTGCAGGACCCGTTTCCCAGTGGAATGACGACTATTTCGACTGGGCCATATTCAATAGCTATGTTAGTTTACCAGAGGGTAAGAATTGTATAACAACCAATCATGGGGATAGTTCATGGTCTAACATATTGATAAAACCAACAATTATGTAGGGATATGAATGGGCGAGTATGTTTTATCGGATTTATATATATATAATTATATATATATATATAGTAACCACCAATGTCAGTCTTTGGGTCTGTGAAAATGCTCATGTGGTAAGTATACCCAAGTAGTACACGGTTGGCTGCTCGGATCTAAAGGTATCTAATCCTTCTTCCCAACAAGAAGTGGGGAGCCATGGAGCCAATGATGGTCATTTTGTTCCACTGATCATTTTACTTCCCCTGGTTTTAATGCACGTTGCGTTGTGAATCATACTGAATCATCCTCATTGCATCTAATGCATTGCCACGGACTTCAGTGTGTTTCAGCGGGAATGATCATGATTTATGAATCATGATGTATCCTGCTTTGGATAGTGATTTCTACCAAGTTTTTTTTGGTCAAGTTCATCCATAAAATGGTATGATTGGACTTCAGCAATGGATCTGCAAGGTTTGGGGTGGGTTGCGTTGAAACCACCAACTTCAGAACTGGTGCTGCAATGGATTTGCTGTTTTTGTCAACCGCTTCAGAACTGGCCCTTCAGGGTGGTTTTTCACATGCGTTCTCACACCCTTCGCCTCATATTTTGCCACACATTATGGAAGCCGCGGTGAAAAGAATGAACATATCTATTGTATTTCACTAGGGTTTCCTAGCTGCCGGGGTGATCCCAAGTGGCTGGTTTTTCGGCAGGCCCCAAAATGGGATTGCCTAAAGAGTCTAAGAAGTTGGGAACTCCATTCTACCACATCTTGATTTACTAAGATGAATCTTATTGATTGAATTTGATTGATCAATATTGATCAATATTGATCAATATTGATCAATGGCCCCCATTAAGATTTTTAAGAAGGCCATGAAAATATGAAATGACAGAGAGACCGAAGACACACCCTCTGTATCCCTCTTTGCCATGTGGCATCAAAGGAGATCGTGGAAATGGCGCAACTGACCAAACATGTCACAGACTTTGCTTTCAGCTTAGAGACTTGGAACTGGGGCTGGCAGTAGGAAAGCCCGTTTTTGGTCTTGTTGCGCCATGACCTATGGACCGTCTTCATTAAAGTGAAGTGGGATCATTTTGATCAACAAAATTCATTGGGACCATAATTTGATGAAACCCCTATTGGTCTTGTTGATCCAGTTTTCCTTAACAAAGTTGTTTGCTCTTATGCGCTGGGTCCTGCATGGTTTTCGAAGCAGGGGGCCCCTGGTGACCCTGGTGGAAAGTATTCCCTGTCTCATTTGGGCGGAGTGTCATGAAAATCAGGCAAGCTGGGTCCTGGGTGATTTATATAACATTATATAACATATTAAAAACATGTATAAAAACCATTAAAACACATCAAAGTGTGTATACCGTCGCCGCCCTTAACAATCCGAATGTTCCCATGGTCGGTTTTAAATACCGAGGACAGGGAGATGAACCAGAAAGTCTCAGCTGAGAAAGTCCAGTTTGACGTTGACACAGCCTATGGAAGGGCGTAGAGGTGGTGACTGTTTCTGGATCTCTGGATTGGATTTTCATCTGGTTGGTGGTTTGGAACATTTTTTCCCAAAATATATTGGGAATAATTGACTAATGTTTTTTCAAGGATTCTTGGATGATTTGGACCTGCGTTCCGGAAAGAAAAATATCTCAAACTCGCTGGTTTTTTAACATGTGCTCTCCTGGCAATTTTCCTTCGCCCTCAAAATCAATCCAAGGACATCAATGATTTGCGGTAGTTGAAACTTGGTGATCGAATGATCATCAATGGCTGGTTTGGAAAGTCAGAGGATGAAAATCATCAACATATGGGCAACTGATGTGTCCATCATTCCAAGTTAGATTCGGCAGAGGGTGTATGGACTGGGTTTGATAGCTCGTTCACAATTTTCAGGGTCAGGAGGGTCACGAACCACCTCCAAGACTCCAAGACATTCCAAACCAGATGAAAACTTACCTTCGGTTGCCACCAAATCCCAATAGACGCCGGTGGCCACGTTGAAAAGTGTTTTCTCTCAGTGTGCCTTGAGCTGGGCAGTTGATGCAAAATGATGCACATCTAGAGTGTGCTGCCCTTAAAGAAACTCCTTGATGCACAACTTCGCTAGAAATGCTGGCAGATTTTCACCAGAACGAGTCCTGACACTGTGGACATGGCCGGGCATATCTGGGCATGTAATGATCGTTTCATCATTTCCATTAATTTCCCTCATTTCATTTCACTTTTACCTGGCAGGCAACCCTTGCCGGTGCGACAGTGCGGGCAGTGTGGTGGGGCAAATCCTTTTAGACGCCATGGCAAAAAATGCAATGATGGGCCCCTACAGTACCTGGTATACATTGGCTCATCGAATTGCAGATACTATCTATCTATCTATCTATATATATATATATATATATATCTATACACAACAGCCAGCCACTGCAAGTTCGTTGCCTTTCAACTCATTTTTCACCCCCGTCCTTCGGAAAACATCGATGGCCACTCCGCTGGCTCAAATGCGTGACGCAGCCTCCGAGGATGCCTGAAAGGCCCGAGTCTTCATGTGGAAGAAATCACCAGTTGATAGCTGGTTTATCCCATGACTAGATGATTTATAGGGTTTCAACAATCCGGTTGGTGATGCAGGATTTTGTTGCATCCACTGTTTGTTGGGCATGAAACAGGTGTTTGGTGTTTGGACCTGACAATTGTTGAATTGCCTGTGGTGGATTTCTGGGACAGAGCCTGATTTGACTCATTCAAATCGTGTTTTTTTGCCGATGACATGTTTTTTCTCCGGGTTCCGGGTTGGATGCATCCGATGTAAGGTGCTGCAGGACTTGTAAAGTATTTGCAGTGAATCCCTCCGACTGAGTCTAATTGTTTTGCAACCAGTTCATTTCTACTGCATGATTCTACTGTGATTGATTTCATGAAGCGTTGAAGCAGAAGAGCCAGCTCAATGAGATTCACCTGCAAAAATGACACTGACAGAAGTACATCTTGGAATGTTAATGTGGTACCCTCTGATTATTTAACATTGCCATAGAAAATGGCCCACTTATAGATGGTTTACCTATAAAAAAATGTGATTTTCCATGGCTATGTTAAATAACCAGATGGTAGATGTTGTTTTTTTCCCTTTTTTCCTCTTACATTTCCACTCTGTGCCGTCCATGCCAGGGCCAAGTATACCGGGGGGTCGACGGGCTTGTCAGACTTCAAGCAGCCACTGGGTGATGACGTGGCGATTTGCCAAGGAGGTTTGAATGATGTGGAGGTTTCGTACAATAGGGGTACCCTACCCCGGGGCTGTTTAAGGATGGGTTCGGGGGCTATCATATTACAATGAAAGCGGCAAATGATATCAGCATCTGGGGGCACCCCCAAATTAAGAAACCAGGAATTATTGTGTTGGCGTTGTGCAAGAAACGAAACGCTCAAATTGATTCAAGTTGGGGAAGGTTTATCATTGTAGATCCCGACCTAAGGGATAATTGGAAAGGCTGTCATACTGTATGTGTCAACTTGCATATGGAAATCCAGGGGTAGGCCACGTCTCAACATCACCAAGGCTGGCCCTCCTGGGTGAGGGTGCATACTCTGCGGTCTACAAGGTGCTGCAGTTGATGTGACAATATGGGATATGGCTACGTCTGAAAATAGGGTACCCCCAAATCCATTGGTGAATCAGCATTATCCCGAAATTATCCCTATATATCCCTACTAAAATTGCCATTTGGGTGGTATACCACAATTATTTTCAGAAATTTGCAGACACACACATATTTGACAAGTCCCTTGCTAGGAGTGAATATTTGAGTACAAGGTGTGTCATTAAATCCCAAGGAAAAAACTAAGCACCCAACAAGGAATATCTGTTGAAGGGTGGTGATTAAGGGCTGACACACCTTAAGTATCCTTGGGTCGTAATTACCGAACAAGACCACCCCTTAAATCCCTTGGATTATCCTGGTTTTTGCAGGATGGTGATGGAGAGAGAGAGAGAGAGATACTGGATTTTGTCATTTTGCGGCTGGGATTTTTCAGGGATGGTCTTGTTTAAGACTTGGAGCCTTGAATCTCCCGTCTTCAGGTCCTTCGAGTGGCTGACAATGAGGCCTGAAATGACTGGAGTTATCAGATCTGATTTCATGGCGGGAATGATCATCTTATGAGCCTTTGGCAATCAAACGAAGCAAGTGGAAATCCCGCGCAAATGGAGGTTTAAACATGTTTAAACTATAAATAGATTCTCCATTGGCATGTTTGATTAGCGGAGGGAAATCAATTCTGCCAATGAAGCAGTTGACAGCAGTGCAGCGAAGGTTTATGCGCTCAAGAAGGTGAAACTGCCATCGTTGTCAGACAAGGACGGCCGGCTTCAGTGGTGTAGAAGCATTAAAATAAATGGGGATAAGACAAAGACAGCCATGTGGATACAGTTGGTGTAAGTGTAGCCCTAGCAATCAGGTGAAATGGGATGCTTGGGTTTATTCCCTATCTATTTGTTTGGATGTAATTAGTTGAGGTTGCTCAAAGCGGTTGCTGCGCAATTCAACATCTGGGTTACCTCCGAGATTGGACAAGTGATTACTAACCATTTTAAACTGTGAGTTCACTAACGGATGCTTGATGGCTACACTGTACACCCTTGAAACCAACATGGAACACCAAAAAAACAGGTCTGGAATCAATTTTCCCCTTGCATTCCAATTCTTGGGTTGTTGGTTTTCCCGCGGTGTTCGCGTATGTTCGCAACTCATCATTCTTGTGGCCGATCAAACGTCACCATGTCTGGCCGATCATGGCCAATCTGCTCAGATGCGGTTGTGAACGCAGGTATTTTATACAATCGAATCGGTAAAAAATCACGGATATGATGGCATGCATCCAATCATATACCGATCTTTGAGAAAATCACGAAATGATCCAACTGCATCCATTTGTTGCACATATTTGGGCAATTTTTGAGATACAACCACGTTTGTCCATATTTAGAAACCTGGATGCAATCCTTCAGGTACCAAAATGCCATGGGGTAAGGGGTGACTGAGGCCTGCTGAACTGCGCAGCCGCTTGGCTCCAGTGTTTGTTTCTGTGGGTGTCAAATATCAGTCCATCTTCCCAAGAGCCTAGCGAAGAAGCAGTTTTGACTTGTTTTGACACTTCATGACATTGCAATTTTCATCAATTTTCCAAGAATCACACAACAACTTTGTTGATCTGATTCTATAAATCAATGAACCATGAACAAGCTTTGGGACTGGCAATATTTGACACCCAGTTGTGGCCCGACATATCTTCGCTTCCATGGCATGGTTCCGCTCGTCGCTGCCCTGGTGGTGACGGCCGTAGCCACGGCGGCCACGCGGCCGCAGCAAGAGACGATGACGTCGCAGTGCGCCGGCCTGGCGGAGGAGTTGCATCAGGTCATGGGGGGCGGGACCCGGCGGGAATTCTGAAGCAAAACATATGGCTTCAACCTGTTTTTTTTAGATGGAAAACAGCAAACATGTAGGAATTTTGAACATATGTTCGCCATAGGGTGCCATATGTTAATATATGAAGATTTACCACTATTTGCCTATATCAATATCATGTACTATTAACATTAGTCTTGATGTATATTTAGCATTAGCTAGCATTAACATGATGCCTGCCTATTCCGGGCACCCATTGGGAATCAAGGAAAAGAAAGAGAGGAAACAATAGGGAAAACAAAGGATTGACTCACCTCAAAAACATGATGGACAAACGTGCACAAAAACCCGTGATTTGGACATCCTATTGTTTTCCCAATGTTTTTCATTTTTCTTGGTTTTTGTAAATCATATTTTTTCATAGTGCGCTTATTATTTTGTAAACTCCCAGGATGTGCATGTATTTAATTCACACAGCAACATTAACATATAATGAACCTTGAACATATAGCCAGACAGTCAACATTGACATATAATTAAAGTTGGACATATTTGTTTATATACATTATTTTACATTGACATATAGTTAACCTTATTATATAATCTAATTATAGAACAATATCTATCATTGAATCTGTCATCAACCTACAAAATCGCCCAGCTGGAGGCGACCAGTTCCCTGCATGAAATCGAGAAGACTTTGGAGGAGCTGACGCATTTGGAGACCACGTGCCCTGACGCTGCCGGACCTCCCTTTTTTGCACCAAATGGGGGAGAAAACCAAAGAAAACATGCGGGAAATTGATGGAAATGTTGGATGTTTCATAAAATATTTCATGGTCCATATGATCATGAAATTTGATGAAATTTGGCAAATTAAATTATATAAGTGGTAGATTTCACATCATGAACCACCTGAGGCATCTCCATCAGGGTTCCCATAGGGGGGTGTTGCCCATAGGGGGCCTTTGGATTATCTACAGTGAATCAAATGGATGTTTTGGCCTTTCAGCATGTCAATGCCAACCCTTGATTTACAAGGCCCAATGCCCAAAGAACATGATTGGGATTGAAAAAAGGAGGCGTTACTCCAAAAAGTGGGATATGAGTACTGGCCAGAGTGCCCAACCAATCAACCAGGGTTCAACTGGTTCTCAGTTAACATTTGAGTGAGAATTTCCTCCATACCAAATGATTGGAACTGGGGGAACACACAATTTATGCCTGGTTTCATGTCATGGTGCTGTCCTCATTCTTGAACGGCTTGAATCCACTCCTTGGGCCCAGGGGTTAGACACCTCATATGAGCGACGCTTATTCTCTCGGTTCTGCTGTAGAAAAGTGAAGGTGAAACTGGTGAGCTTTGTGGGTTTGTTTGGGCGGTGTTCTACCAGATTCTACCATTGGTTTATTGAAGTTTGGGAGGTGTTCACTGGGTTTATTTACAGTAGGTGTTTTTTTCCGTTCCTTGATTTTGTTCTTCATGCAATCCACTCCCTGTTGGGATTTTGTTTGGGGCCACATAGACGGCCTGACAAATGATGCATGGCTACGAATTCTTGCTCTTCTTGCTAGGCAGCTGGTTGGGATTGCATCAGAGATTCAATAATAAGTGTTCACATCCTAGCCCTAGTTGATGTTATTTTTTGGGTAATCAATTCCTTCTCCATAATGCCAAATATAACCACCCCATATACACATAGGGGGTTCCATGTTTTTGGTGAATCAACCCAGCAGCAACACGGTCTTGGGAGCCCAGCCCCCGGGGGACCCGGGTTTTCCGCAGGTCTTGGCCAAAGTTGTGGACCAATCAGCAGGACGATGGAAAGTTTGGGGATGCGGTCCAGGCCTTTCTTCAGGAGGAAGCCGGTCGTTTGAAGCACATCCAAAAGGTCACCCGGAAGCATCGTGACTTGGAGGAAGTCAGGGGAACAAGATGGAACAACAGGGTTTCCTTAGGAAGATGTTCTGCAAATGCTGGATTCTCCATGTCTATGTTAGGGCCTAGGGAAACGATACCTTGCTGTTTCCTGCTTTTGTAGAACGGCTGTGTATGGTTTGTTGCCTTCACTTTCTGGGGGGACCAATCAGCCGTGCTGCAAGGCGACGAGTTACAGCAGAAGGAGAGCGGTTGTGGCCGAATGAAACTTGGAGAGATCAGCCATCGAATCCATCGGAGTGTAATGCTCCGGGTACTGACACATCTCAGATCCATTGGGCTCAGCTCACTGTAGGACACCGAGGCCAAACCAAGATGATCCGATCTGACTTGGGCTTTCAAAAGCTCACAGTGTAAAGGGTTTGAATGGTAATTCATATGACTAATGATCAATCCCATACCCCATCATCCCCCAAAAAAACACTACCCCCATATGGGACCCCCAAGGTTTGGGACCGGGGGACTAAGAACTGTCAGTCTAGTGACTATCACTGGGTCACAAGCTGTCAAAATCCACGAGCTCTCCCAGCTATGGTTCTTCATCATCCCAGCCTCTCACATAAAAACTGCCCGGGTTTGGCCTTGAGCCGTTTTCTCATAGATCAGGACATTGTCATATATTGGGGATGTATATATATAATAATAATAATAATGATGATGATGATGATAATGATAACAATGACAAAAAACATATTAATAATGATCATAATATATATATATATATATACACATGTAAAATTCAAAGTGGTGAACTCGTTGGCTCTCTATAAGCTTGTGTATAGAACCCCCCAAAAAGATAGAAACATAATTTATCACAATTCTGGTAGGATGTTACTTTTCTATCTTTGTTGGCACTTGCTATAGGCTTGAGCATGGCCACCCCTGCCTCCCAGGAAAGTCACCGCACCGGGACTTGGTCTGCAACAATGAGCGTCAACGAAGACCGGCAACGTTAGAGAAAAGAATCCTGAGCAGCAGGGAGTTGTGGCATTGATAATATATATATATATATATATATATATATATATTATACACATATATTTATATACACATATATTTATATATACACATATTGGATTAATTTTATGTATTTCATATGTATATACACATATTTTTTGGATATATATATATACACACACACATATATATATATATATATACATATTATGCATATGATATATTTGCATCTATTTTTAAGATTATATATTATATATATATAATGTATGTATACATATGTCTATTCCAGTCCTGGGCAATCTGGCCATAGGATTTTAGATGGTGAGATGATGGATGACTTGGAACTGTGTCTTTGTTGACATTTTGAGAAGGGGGATAGTGCAAAGGTATGCAAAGGTTGATGGTCCCTTTGCATAAATCTATTGGTGCGACTGTGAATACTCAGGATGTTCCATGAGTCACTGAATGGTGAGCAAGTTAAGTGCAACATGCAAGAGTGCATGGTGATGATCAAAGGAAGTTGGGAAGCAATACTTCCGTGTTACGGACAAATAGAATTCTGAGACTTGAAATGATGAAGGGCGGTGGATCGTATATCAATACATAACATAACAATACATAACAAAAGAATAAGGGTGCATACAAACGGGGTGGTGACGAAGGGAAGTGGTGACGAAGGGAAGTGGTGAAGAAGGGAAGTGGTGACGAAGGGAAGTGGTGACGAAGGGAAGTGGTGACGAAGGGAAGTGGTGACGAAGGGAAGCGGTGACGAAGGGAAGTGGTGACGAAGGGAAGTGGTGACGAAGGGAAGTGGTGACGAAGGGAAGCGGTGACGAAGGGAAGTGGTGACGAAGGGAAGTGGTGACGATGGGAAGTGGTGACGATGGGAAGCGGTGAGGAAGGGAGGTCGGGACGAAGGGAAGTGGTGAGGAAGGGAAGTAGTGAGGAAGGGAAGTGGTGACGACGGGAGGTGGTGACGATGGGAAGTGGTGACGATGGGAAGTGGTGAGGAAGGGAAGGGGTGAGTTGTGGAGGAAGCCGGAGCACGAAACCTTGTGTTTTTCCGTGTAAAGTGGCTGCAGCCGGCGATGAAAGGTACCTCGTCTGTGCGACGGGTGCGGCTGCGGTCGTTTGTGCGCGAATTGTTCCTCCTATGTGTTTTGCAACGAGTCGTTGTGTCTGTGTGCGTAGTTCTATGCGGTTCTTGAATCTCTGGCTGCAAATTGCATTGGAATGGCTGCATGAATGTTGCATGGGCTATGTTTTGGGGAGGAAGCCGGAGCACGAAACCTTGTGTTTTTCCGTGTAAAGTGGCTGCAGCCGGCGATGAAAGGTACCTCGTCTGTGCGGCGGGTGCGGCTGCGGTCGTTTTGTGCGCGAATTGTTCCTCCTATGTGTTTTGCAACGAGTGGTTGTGTCTGTGTGCGTAGTTCTATGCGGTTCTTGAAGCTGTGGTTGCAGATCGCATTGGAATGGCTGCATGAATGTTGCATGGGCTATGTTTTGGGGAGGAAGCCGGAGCACGAAACCTTGCGTTTTTCCGTGTAAAGTGGCTGCAGCCGACGATGAAAGGTACCTCGTCTGTGCGACGGGTGCGGCTGCGGTCGTTTTGTGCGCGAATTGTTCCTCCTATGTGTTTTGCAACGAGTGGTTGTGTCTGTGTGCGTAGTTCTATTCGGTTCTTGAATCTCTGGTTGCAGATTGCATTGGAATGGCTGCTTCATTGTCGTCATTTGATGTTGCCACGTGCGTAGATAGGTGCGGGTTTGCCACGGGATGTTGCGAAACGCATTGTAATGGCTGCATGAATGTTGCATGGGCTCTGTTTTGGGGAGGAAGCCGGAGCACCAAACCTTGTGTTTTTCCGTGTAAAGTGGCTGCAGCCGACGATGAAAGGTACCTCGTCTGTGCGACGGGTGCGGCTGCGGTCGTTTTGTGCGCGAATTGTTCCTCCTATGTGTTTTGCAACGAGTGGTTGTGTCTGTGTGCGTAGTTCTATGCGGTTCTTGAATCTCTGGTTGCAGATTGCATTGGAATGGCTGCTTCATTGTCGTCATTTGATGTTGCCACGTGCGTAGATAGGTTCGGGTTTGCCACGGGATGTTGCGAAACGCATTGTAATGGCTGCATGAATGTTGCATGGGCTCTGTTTTGGGGAGGAAGCCGGAGCACCAAACCTTGCGTTTTTCCGTGTAAAGTGGCTGCAGCCGACGATGAGTTTTTAAAGGTACCTCGTCTGTGCGACGGGTGCGGCTGCGGTCGTTTTGTGCGCGAATTGTTCCTCCTATGTGTTTTGCAACGAGTCGTTGTGTCTGTGTGCGTAGTTGTATGCGGTTCTTGAATCTCTGGTTGCAAATTGCATTGGAATGGCTGCTTCATTGTCGTCATTTGATGTTGCCACGTGCGTAGATAGGTGCGGGTTTGCCACGGGATGCTGCGAAACGCATTGTAATGGCTGCATGAATGTTGCATGGGCTATGTCTTGGGGAGGAAGCCGGAGCACGAAACCTTATGTTTTTCCGTGTAAAGTGGCTGCAGGCGACGATGAAAGGTACCTCGTGTGTGCGACGGGTGCGGCTGCGGTCGTTTTGTGCGCAAATTGTTCCTCCTATGTGTTTTGCAACGAGTGGTTGTGTCTGTGTGCGTAGTTCCATGCGGTTCTTCAATCTCTGGTTGCAGATTGCATTGGAATGGCTGCTTCATTGTCGTCATTTGATGTTGCCACGTCCGTCGATAGGTTCAGGTTTGCTACGGGATGCTGCGAAACGCATTGTAGTGGCTGCGTCAAGGTTGCTCGGTGCTGCGGCTGCATGCGTGATACTATTGTCTTTTGCAGCTGAAGATCGTAAATCGTATTGGAATGGCTGCATCAAGGCTTGAAAGTGATTTGTCAGCAGATTTTCTCAATTTTGGCGCTAATAATTTTCCTTTTAAAATTCCTTTTAAAAAGTGCTTCAAAATCGTCTTTTTGTCGCTTTGGCGTCGAGATCCGGTTTTGGAGCTGCAATTTCCGACGCCATTGCACGTAGTTCTATTGTGTTTTGCAACTCAGTCTCTGCAGATCGCATTGTAGTGGCTGCGTCAAGGTTGCTTGGTGCAGCGGCTGCATGCGTAATACTATTGTCTTTTGCAGCTGAAGATCGTAAATCGTATTGGAATGGCTGCATCAAGGCTGCGAAAGTGATTTGTCAGCAGATTTTCCCAATTTTGGCGCTAATAATTTTCCTTTTAAAATTCCTTTTAAAAGGTGCTTCAAAATCGTCTTTTTGTCGCTTTGGCGTCGAGATCCGGTTTTGGAGCTGCAATTTCCAACGCCATTGCACGTAGTTCTATTGTGTTTTGCAACTCAATCTCTGCAGATCGCATTGTAGTGGCTGCGTCAAGGTTGCTTGGTGCAGCGGCTGCATGCGTAATACTATTGTCTTTTGCAGCTGAAGATCGTAAATCGTATTGGAACGGCTGCATCAAGGCTGCGAAAGTGATTTGTCAGCAGATTTTCTCCATTTTGGCGCTAATAATTTTCCTTTTAAAATTCCTTTTAAAAAGTGCTTCAAAATCGTCTTTTTGTCGCTTTGGCGTCGAGATCCGGTTTTGGAGCTGCAATTTCCAACGCCATTGCACGTAGTTCTATTGTGTTTTGCAACTCAATCTCTGCAGATCGCATTGTAGTGGCTGCGTCAAGGTTGCTTGGTGCAGCGGCTGCATGCGTAATACTATTGTCTTTTGCAGCTGAAGATCGTAAATCGTATTGGAATGGCTGCATCAAGGCTGCGAAAGTGATTTGTCAGCAGATTTTCTCAATTTTGGTACAATGTGAAGTGTGAGGAAAGTGTTTGCATTCTACCGGGGTCGCGCGCAGGTCATGTTCTTGGACAGCAACACTGCAACAGCTTCGCACAAAGCACGCACGCACGGGCCTGGCTGGCGCACGGCGCATGCAAGTTCCTTAGTAGTAGTGCTGGGAAGTGATTCATGAAAGCTTAGGTGACATATGAGAAGAGATGAGATGAGAAGAGATGAGCTGGGATAAGGTGAGAAGAGCTCAGATGAGATGAAGTGTGGAGTGTGAAGAGTGCAGTGTGAAGTGTGGGGCGTGAAGAGTGCAGTGTGAAGTGTGAAGTGTGGAGTGTCTGTGAAGAAAGCAATGAGAAGTGTGAAGTGTGGACTGTGAAGTGTGGAGTGTGAAGTGTGGATTGGGGAGAGCGCAGTGTGAAGTGAGAATTGTGGAGTGTGAAGTGTGAAGTGTGGAGTGTGAAGAGTGCAGTGAGAAGTGTGAAGGGCGAAGTGGAGCTTCAAATGTGACATGTGAAACAGGACACCACTTTCGCAGAGTGCACGCACGCACGGGCCTGGCTGGCGCACGGCGCATGCAAGTTCTATAGATGAGAAAGGTCTTATATATATCTTTAAGGCAACTTCCGCCCCGCCTCGTGCGGGTACTACTGGTATACAACCCCATCAGATCGCACTTTCACAAGGGGAAGGTGGCCCAGTTCCTACTCAGTTGAATGACTCACTCATTCGGAATCATTCAAACAGTTCATATGTTGGCTCAATGGCGCGTAATGTTCAATTGATTTCCATGACCAGAATGTTCAACAGGAGGCCCGTGAAGCAACATGACCAGGGGCATTAGACACGGACTTTACTGATTGATGCATTTTGCAGGTGGTTGAGACAAGGCCAATAGAATCTAGGACGATTTCATAGGGGTATGTGTCCAGATGTTTTAAGCAATTGCTATTGTGTTCCGTCATGCTGCTGTCGTAATTCCTGACAACAGACCACAACAGTCCAAGAGCCAAGGCTGCTGCAAACGCATAGCAGAGCAGCCATCGAGTTTTTTTTGTGGTCCTTCTTCATGTGACTTCCCCCATATACAGATCCAGGTGTTACACCATTGCGTAACAGGTTTATTATTCAATATTATTCGTATATACCGAGCCAATACATTTACAATTCACAGAATCACAGATTTACTTGCTCCATTCCTTGCGGCGCAATGTCGTCGCTGGTGGAAGGATCACTTCCCGAGGCATGTAAAATTTCACCGGTGAAAGACGTGGTTGAATCATGTTGAATCCCTGATGACCCGCAGCGTAACGGAACATTCATCCACTGCCATGGCCATGAGGTGCTTTACTAATGTTACTAATCTTACTACATGTTACCCTCTGGTAAATTAACATAGACCCTGGTAGATAGGGGTTGGAAGATTAGTTTCCATTGAAACTAGTCTAGAATTTCAGGGTCTATGTTACCAGAGGCTACTACTTTCCTGATCAGCTTTGAACTCCAACCAACATGTTTTTTTTGCTGCAAAAATGCTAATGAAAATCCTCACCAATTCATCATATTTGGATTTCATGTTCGATTTCACCGACTTCCCGGGATGCATGTTTTTTTCAGGCGAAGAGCGCGGGGAGGCGGAGGCGAACCGTTCGTTCCATTGGACCAATGGGAAAATCATGGAACATCGGTGAATTTTCCAGCAAACCATCTTTGATGCCAGGGGCTATGTGAAATTCACGTTAATAAATGATTAATAAATTATCAATCATAATACTTAAGTTAATAATACATTGTTAATGCTGAAATTCAGGTTTGATACCAAGGGAGTTCTCCGACTCATTGCCTTGTTCCATCCGCTCTGTTTGGATCTCTTTTCGCGATCATTGCACCTGAAAAATCCCATGTTTGAATATATTTGAGACTACTTGGCCGGGCCCTTAAACAAGGAGTAGAAGTGGATTCAGAAGATTCTTGGCGCTGCTCATATTTGGAACTCTGGCTTCGCGGGGTTCATGTTTGAGAGCAATTGAAAGCATTTGAGAGCTAAATCATCATCTTGAAGTGGGTGTTTTACCCTCAAGTAAGGCTGATGAGGTTGACAGAAATATGACACAGGGACAAATCTGTTTTGGTCCACTCTTTTGTGTGAGGATGTATGGCAGTACTTGCCTTGCACTGATACCTCATGGGATCATATGGGATCGATATACCTCTTCACACTACTTCTGAAAGTACAACATTGACCCTGCCATCAATTCCAAGAACAAACCACGGAAAAAGCATGGTTTCACATGTTTTCACCTTTCCTTTTGGGGTTGACCGTGATTGGCGATCTTCCGATATTGATATGGCATAGTAATATATAGTATACTGGTGCTGGTAGTGACATCATGGACATGCCAATCGAATCTCAGCCAGCGCCATCCAATGCCTGCAGGTACGACCCCCGATGTTTGCAACAATGGCAGTGTTTGAAGGCGACAGGCGGCCCTATGAGGCACTTGCTGGCCAGGTGCCGCGGGGAATTGTCGGAGTTCACCCAGAATTCAGCAAACATGGGGATAAACGAAGAGAAACTAAAATTATAAATTATACACGATGCATCATGATTAAAAAACACAAGCTTGATAGATTTTGGTCCCATGCTTGGTGAGTAGATTTGTATTTTTCTCACTATGTTCGGGTCATGTAGGATTGGCAGGAGGACCCGTGGACCCCTGAAGAGGGTCCCATGAAACCTGAACCCACTACTGCGACATCATTGATGATGCTTAGTAATTAGCAATAGGGAATTGTCCCAAAATGCCCCTTTTTTCCAGGCGGTGAATTACTTCAATCTATCTACCCTCTGGTAAACTAACATAGCTATAATATATGACAATATATGATCACAGATCATAGCATATGATAATTTATGATAATATATGTTGTTATGGCACTATTAGGTTAACTTTTTTACATAATTATGACAACCTATTTTATTATGACATCATTATTATGATAATTTATTTTATTATTGCATTATTATGATAATCTATTTTATTATGACATTGTTATGATCTATGTATGTGGATCATATCTTGTCAATATGTTGATTTGATTTTGTGTTGACGGGATGAAACAGCAAAAAAGAACTCGTTGGGGACATCCGTGGCTCCATTCTCCAGCGTCAGAGTCACTGTTTCAGTTGCGGATTCTGCATCACCTTGGGCGAGGGTTCATTCATAAGAATCCTGGGGTATCTTGTGTACAACTTAGATCTTGCGCCACTCAGAAACTGGTACCTTTTCCATCCGTTTCCCATGTTATGGGGAGGTGCCCACTTGAGAGATGGTGCTCCTCAGATTTCCTCAGGTTCCCCGGGCCCATTGTTGGATAAAAGGCTAGCTCCAGCCATTCGCCTGCGAAGGGATTTGATTCGCCAACAGCTTTGGGAGTAACTTGGCGCTGGGTGATGCTGATGCTGGGTGTTTAGCTGATGGCAAGCATAGGTAAGATGCACATTACTTGGTTGCCAGTCAGTTGCAACATGTTTTTGGGGTACGGGATGGTCCTAGCTATGCACAGACACACACATATATATATATGATAATTAGATATTATATAGTTATATGAATTTGTATCCAGCCGCTCGCTGCGATTCACATCTAAGTAATCAGCTGAGGTGAAACGGACCCTTTTGTTCCACCTGAATTTGAGGTCGATCTTAGACGAAAGCAACAAATGCCCAGTAGCGCCCGCATCAGCTGGAGCGTCTGAGGTTTCTGTTGGAGGAACTTCCAGTGTTCACCGCGACCAGCTCGGTTTGTTTGTCCAAAGATGGACGTCAGGCTGGGCCAGTGCTGCCGGGGCGGTGTCAGGGCTGATGAAACATTGGCATGGCTCACAGCAATCAAAATGGCACTGTTTTCCGAGTTTGGTTGTAGGAAAAAAGGGAACAATGTTTAAACATGTTTAAGATGAGATAAATTGTAAGTTGATATGGAGATTGACCATACGTTTCAAAATGGCGTCATTCACAAGAAGTAGGGATTCGGCCACAGATGGATCAAACGGTAACTTCCATGTGGGTGCAGTGATTTTGCAGCCCTGAAACTCATGATCCGACCACGGGATGCGGGGACTGTATTCAGCAGAAGATATCGAAAGGCCTGGGTGATGTGTACAGAAATTTCGTCATTTGCCACCTGCAAAACAATATCTCCCGCGTATATCTGGTTGATTAATCGGTTGATGTGTTCCTCATCCTACATGGAATGATGACTCGATGACCCCAGCTGTTTTATTTTTTTATGGGTGAATCGGCCACCAACTACTTCCACTGCATCCCTCAGCGTGAATCGAGAAGATTGGTTATCTGGCTCCATGTTTATGTTTGTCGTTTGCATTTGGAGCTTTCAGCGCTGTTTCTATGATTGAATCTTTTAGGCCCATATTTTTAAACAAATGCAAGTCATGTCCTATGATTTGGAGATCAAGAGATCACGTGGGGTTCATTAAATTTGTTTGACATTTTTTGAACAGGGACGTCAACACACTGAATGTGGTATTTTTTTAGTGCAGACGGCACCGGGCAACGCCTTGTGAGGCAATACGAGTGGAGAAGCCGGACTGCCCCTTGCATTGGATGCATCGTATCTTGGTGCATTTCTTCCATGCTGGGATGATGCAGGTTGTGATTCACGGGATGGCCAGATGGCGGTATAGAATGATCTAGGCTAGCCAAGGGTACCCTCTGGTAGTCAAAGCCGGCGTGCTGGAAAATATGGATATTTATATGATATTTAAGTAGTCTTAGCCGATTTTCCCATTGAAACCTCCATACTGTATATGTGATCCAAGATCAGCATAGATTAGCCACGAATGCCTGGTAGCTGGTTGGAGGCAGCGGAAGGTGCCACAAGTCCCACTGCTAACCATGGAAATGTACTATGGCCTATTACTTGAGGGCGCAGTTATATTACATAAGTGGATATATTTATATATATATATTGTAACGACAGTAGTATAGTACTCCCAGAAAAAAGATAGAAAAGTGTTTCCAGAAGGGTTTAAATGATGGTTTCTCCATATTTCCAGGTTTCAAGCTTTTCGGCATTTTTTTGTTGGGTTTGCTCTATCCCATTCCAATTGCGCCGCAAGGCATGATGGCTCCAGAGGCTCCCCTCGTGGCGCTACGCATGCGCCCGGTTCAGCACTACGGCGTCACAGAGAATTGGGCCGAGTTGGTCGTGGAGACGGTTGCGGGGTAGCAGCCGGCGCTTCGTGTCGCGGGGTCTCCTTTTCAATGATCAGTGGCCATTAGGAACCGATTTGTTGGAGCACATATACCCTCCGCTAATTTAGCTCTAATTATTGAAGATTGCCCATTTATAGTGGATTTACCTATATATTAAAGATGGTGATTTTCCATAGCAATGTTAGTTTACCAGAGGGTATAAGGTATATTTTTCAGGTACCTGAAATCGCCACATGGCTGAAAACAACGGCACGACCACAACGACCTCATTGATTATAGCCTTAAAGCTTCCGGTTAGGGAAATCATCTCTAGATGGCCTTGTTACTTCAAAACTATAGAAATTGACCATGAAGCCAAACCATGGTTGTTTTCGGTATCAACGTTGATTTACTGCGGGGAATGTGCACTCACGAATACTTAGTAAGTATATGACATACAATGTTATAAATTATTTTATACATTGAACATCATTGAACTATGTAACATAATTTATTCGCACCAACTATCATCTCAAATTTACTCGTGTATATCAATCTAGTGTATCAATCCCATGTTCAGTTTGTAAAACGGTAAAACCTTTTGTTTACTTGTTTTTGTTGAACGTTAGCTTTACATGGGTTACTGTAAGGTGTGACCATCGTCGTTGTCCTTCGTACCATTTGGTATATATGGGTAAATTATAATGACCTCACTGCGACCTCACTGGAATCATGGTTAATAAGGGAAATCATCCCCAAATGGCCTTAATTCAGGTTAGTGAAATATTATAATTTACCCAGATATATACATGGTTGTTTGGTATATAGGTGTTTTTTTGATTTCGCCTGCATAGTTTTTCACAAAAGACACTGAGAATTTTCCACATTTTTTTTCTTTTGATTGGGTTAGTTTATATTATGATGTCTGTATATTTGCATATTTTTTCCATGACACATCTGATTTGTCCTTAAAAAATCGTGGGCATGTCATGGCGTTTCCCGGATTTGTTTTTCACAGGGGCGTTTCCTGGTGATTGATCCAGATGGGATGATTTGATCCAACCCGACCATATCTCCAATACTTCGTTGATATTACGTCAATCTTCAGTATATGCAAAAGAAATAGAAAACAAATAAAAAAAACACCGTCCTGGCTTAGTCCAAATCCTAGAATAAACGTGAACCTTTCAACACGACCTTAATTGTTAGGCTTGCGGATGGCACTGTTGGGTAGTTTATGTTCGTTTTAAATATGTTTGTTACATGTTTTTACTTATAGACCCAACCAATCCCCCAAATTTCAAGATTTCACTCATCATCACTCATCACTCATCTAAACCCCCACCCAAAAAATTGGTTGGAAAGCAGCCCGGCGGCCCCATCATCCCCAGGTCTGTGGTGACCGCTGCACCAGCATCCTGTTGGGCGTTTGCCCGGCCTGCCCGGACTTGTCCTCCGGGCCGCCGGCGGGGCGAGGCTACTTCGTGTCACTGGCGGAGATTCCAGCCGCTTGGCCGAGGTTTTGGGCACTGATGGCATGGCCGAGCAGTGGGAACTAAACATGGCAAGCCCGAAAATCCATGAAAATCCTTTATAAATTGCTATAAAATGTAGGGTTTTAATGGTTTTTGTTTTGGGGGGTATGGGAAAACCAAGTATACATGGACACATTTGGCACATACAAAAATATAATCTTGATATGGGGAATATATATGAATATATGGCCGTATATATATATATGCTTATGATGGGAGATGGGATTGAAAATTGGGATATAGCAGGGATATCCTTCTGGAAAATTACTGTGACATATACAAATACACAATCATGAATTTATTACAAGTCAGGTGTGAAGCTTAACTAAATACTGGTATGTTTGCATAAATGATAAGGACCTCACTTCACGAAGCTGGAATTGCTGCGTAGAATATACATGCATATACCATGGTCAATGAACCATATGCCGGTACATTGGTCAGTTGGTCGCGTTGTGACTGTCACTGATAGTCCTAATTGCTGTCCCGTGGGCCCGCGGATTCATTGTCCATGCCTGGAATTGTTTTTTTACCACTTGACGGCCCTGGCCGCACATTTCAAGATCAGACATGTCTTGAAGGGTCAAGTTTGCCCAACATAAATCATTCTCCATGATGATGGATGGAATTGACCTATGTATTCCATGTCAACCGTTTTCAAGCAACAATTTGGACGTGCTTGCGTTGATGTTCAACCGATTTCAGCCACATGAATTCCAGCAGTTTCCATCCCATGTTCCGTCTCCGTTTCGTGGTGACCATGTGCAAAAGTCATCAGTCAACCCGACCCCTCTGACAGCGAGTTTCACCTCCAAGGATTGTATCAGTGGTGTGCCTTACTGCATCTCGCTGGGTCTTGCGCAGTTCAAAACGCGGTTACGTAGCGAACACCGGATCATGTGAAGCCAGAATTTTCGGAACCCAGTTCAGTAAATAGCAAGAGAGAATTTCGAAAGGAGTTGATTTCACTAGTTTGGGGGTGGCACCCACCAAAAAATAGCAATACGGGCGTGACATTCATCATAGATTCCTGGCGTTTTCTTAACCAAAGGTTGATGGGCCGGCAATCCGCATGGCTCTTCTTAAAACCAGAATCTTGGCAAAATACTGCCTGTCCCATATCCCAAAACTTTACGGGTAACTTATACTCTGATGAAAAACAGTATGGATTTTTTTGGGGGATCATCCTGTGATGAAATTCATCGAATCATCCATATAGGGGCACTTTATCTATTTGAAAATATTGGGCATATTCCGATCATTACCAACTGGTAAACCAAGAAATCCATGGTGGATACCATGCAAAACTTCTGAGCCCTGCCTTTCAAGGCACCACTTCCGCGCGTTTTACTCAAGGGACACGCATCGCAGCACTGATTACAGGTCGGCACGGACATGACTATCCCGTGGTGAACGGAGGGAGCAGTGAAGGGAGCCATGGATGCATCTATAGCAAAAAACGGGGAACCATTTGGAGCAACGCGTTGAGTTTCCCAGCCAAATTGAACTGGTTGATTTTGGAAGAATTGTCACAAGAGTTGGCATTTCATTGCATTGGGTTCCATTCAATCACAAGCTAAATGGGAGTCAGAATGAATTTGTGGTCTGAAACCGTTACAGTAATTCCTTATTTAGAATAAGCTTATTGTGGTTTGTGGTGGTGGATTTTATATTTTGAATTATTTTGAGTATTTTTGAGCTATTTGCATATGTGCAACTGCATGTGCAATTCACATGAGCAGCATCAAAAACATCCATAAAGGGATTTAGTATTCGGGTTCATGTAGGGAACCTTCCGCGAAAGCAAAACCTCCACGCGCGAAAGCCGTGCGAAAGCTCCGCGAAAGGAGTGCGCCAAGGTCACGCCGCGAAAGCGGCCGCGAAAGCAGATGACTAGTGTAACATCATTTACGACGAATATTTTCCGCGAAAGCCGCCGCGAAAGATATTGCGAAAAAAATCCCGCCGCGAAAGCCAAAACTGTGCGCGCGAAAGCACCGCGAAAGCCGTCGCGAAAGCTTTTCTATAGTAGAACCAGATCGCTACCCGGTTTACGACGCCGCTCA